ATTCAGGATCAAATTTTGACTGAAAAGGTGGAAGCACTGAATTTAAAATTATTTCTGCCAGTATTTTTAGAAAGAATTTCAGAATAGCACTGTTAGTTTAAGAAGTAACATAAATCAAAAGAAGGCAGCTAAGCAAATATTAAATAATCCTAAAAGGCAGGAAAATATTGAACTGTGAAATGATTGATGCATCTTAGTCAAAACAGAATAAAATGTCTCAAAAATATTTCAAAAAATAATTATATTTTTTTGTTCAGGAAAAAATATAATTATTTAACCCATTCTCCACCATCTTTCCAAAACTCCAAGACTCATCTCTACCAAATCTTCCAATTCACAAGGGACCTAACATTAATCCACCTTTTTCCAGCTGACAACAGGACAGGTATGGTGTTACTGATGGGAAGGGAAGCAGGGATTTACAGGGCATGTGACAGAAGCTGCATTTCAGTCCTAACTGATTTTTAATAGCAGCCTGCCCCTGAATTGCCACATGTCCAACCAGGGGCTGCAGATCAACTATCCCAGATAAGCTACAATCTGAATTGGAAGCCAAACTAGATAAATCTGAATTTCTACCATCACTTTTTGAAATCTTGATGGTATCTTAAAATCACCATGCACTTAGCAGCAGCAAGAGGCAGTTTCTGGGTGATAAAGATTGGGAAAAGGAAAGGATGGCTTCAGCTGTGGTGATTGTTAATCAATGTGGGTGCTGGGTCTCCTGGGCATCAATCTCACTGTCTTTAAAAAAATAAAAAGAGGAAAAGGATTTTTATTTTATGGGTTCTCCTCTTTGCTAAGCCAGTGAGGTGTCCTAGAGCAGATGGCTGTGATTTGTGTTATCTCAGCGACTTGTGTTATCTCAGTGACTTGTGTTATCTCATTGCTTTATCCAGTTTATACCCAAGCCTGGAGAGTTCTCTGCTTATGAAAGGGCTTTTCCTTCTCTGCTTCCATCTGCAGTATCAGAGCTCCTCAACAGGAGGGGATACCTGTGGATGGATACCTGTGGGAGCCACTGGGATTGGCCCAGTTGGTCAGAACAGGGTGCTAATAAAGCCAATGTTGTGGTTTTGATCCCTTTTTGGGCCATTCACTTAAGAGGACTCCATGATCCTTGGGGGTCCCTTCCAACCTGGAATATTCTGTGATTTCAGCTCCTGGAGTGGGGTTCTGCTGTGGCAGCAGCTTGTGGGGCTGCCCTGCTCCAGCTGTGACATGAGAGCCCGTGCAGGAGGTGAGGGCTGCACTTTGGCCATCGGGGACAGTGACAGGCCAGGCAGCTGCAGGGGAAGGCCAAGCACCTGGGTCTGTCCCTGAGGCCAGGGAGGCTTTGTTTCCCTCCCTAACTGTGGGACTCTGGGCAGAAGGAAAAAACAATGTCACAGAATCCCAGAATGGTTTGGGTTGGAACCCTAAAACCCATCCAGTTCCAAGGGCAGAGACATCTCCTACCATCCCAGCTTGCTCCAAGCTCCATCCAGCCTGGCCTTGGACACTTCCAGGAATGGGATAGCCTCAGGTATCTCAGTCATCAAGCACTAAAGAGCCCCAGGAGATGAAGAAGAACTCAAACCTTGTGTGTCCTGCTCCAGCTGCTCCAAACCCCCTCCTAAGCAGGAGCAAGGCAATGCCATTGGGAAGGAGAGGCTTTCCAGCACTTTCCAGGCAGCTGGGCTGCTCATTTAGCAGATAAGCAAATATGAAGTGGCTCGGCTTTGGGGCTTAACAGAATGGCAAAGGATAAATTCTGAGCTAATCAACTGCCAGCTGATACCTTTGTTATGGTTTGTGCAGACAAAAAACCGAAACCCCTCAGTAGTTCAGGCTGACAGTGGCGTGGACAAATGATCTGCTGGAACATCAGGAGTGTCACTGCCAGCTTTACAACCACGCTCACCACCTCCAGTCCACCAGCAATCAGTTAACTCCTTGTAAAAAAGTCTCTCAGAGACAGAACTTCTTGAAACAAAAGGGACAGGGTCACTTTTCTTTAAAAATGATAACCTCAGCCTGGAGGAAGATCTCCAGTTCCAGGTGGTGTAAATCAATTGCACTCAAGCGTTGCAATCTGAAGAGCTGTGGCATGGGAAATGCAGGTGTTGTCCTCGCCCCAGTCACCGGCACTGAACTCTGAGGGGAAATTCCTCAGCAAAGAAACCCTTTACGAAAACAGAGTATTTCCCTGTAGCTTGGCGCATCTGTTCCTCCCGAGCTGGGAAGGTGAAATGCCCTATGAATTTCACCCAGAAAGAAATACCCAGCAACTCCCAGAGGATAATTAAAAAGAATGATTTACCGCGGGCTGCAAAGCTCGTTACACACGAAGAAAGACAAGATCTGAAGCACGGTGGGGACTTATCAGCTGCAGCCGCAGCTCGGAGCCGAGGGAAAGGCCCTTGCACGGCTCTCAGACTGCATGTCTGGCTGCCCAGGTCAGTGGAAGTTTGCAGGAAGCCCAGGCACACCAGGGTGTTGCTGTTTCCCCAGCAGGGCCCGGCAAGGAACACAAACACAGCCAAGGAAGCGGCGGCAGCGGGATGGGGCGGGAAGGGCCTGCCCGGCTCTGGGGACAGACAGACGGCGAGCGCGGAGCGCACAAAAGCAGCTCTAAGGTCAAATATTTTCCTTCAGGCACTGAAACCCTTCATGTTGAGATGCTCGTAGTGGCCAGGAGGAGATGAATTGCTGCTGGAGATGAGATTTGGGAGGGTTTCCAGCTCAGCTGGGCAATCTCAGATGTCCCCTCACACCTCCCTAGCCCGGAGCCGAGGGGTTTAAACCCCTCAGCGCTGAACTCAGCAGGTTGTGGACTCAGTTTCTCCTACAGTTCTTTATTTCCGTGTCTGTGCCTCTGCAACCTCCTCCTGACACACACACACAGAGGATTTTATACAGGATTTGGGGGGTTTTTGGGTTTTTTTTTTCATTCCTGCACCGTGACAGCGATTTGTCTGGTGGTATTTGTCTCACAGCCGAGCCTCGGAGCTGACATCGCCTCTCCCTTCAGGTGCCTCCAGCTCCGAGGATGATGAGCACGAAATGGCCTCTGAGGACAGCCATTCACTGCTGCTCATGTCCGTGAAATTCCTCAACATTCTCATTTTGCCTCTCGCTTTGTTCCAGATAAAGATAATTCCCTCGCCCTCGCCATTTATTTTCTTCACTCAGCCGTACCTAAGCTGGAGAGCCTGCACAGAGTTTCACAGGTTCTTTAAGTTCATGTTTTGACATAATCCCCATGAAGTTTGTCTTCATCAAGGTCAAAAAGCATCGAGAGGAGGTTTATAACCTGTTCTTTACAGTAATAGCAGCATTAGCAGTGCCGTGACACTTTGGGCAGAGCATTTTGGAAAGCTTCACAAGGAAACAGCCTGGCCTGCTGAATTCCCCCTGGTGACCCATCAAAGCTGCCTCTAGGTACAGGAGTAACTCCTATAAAAGCACTTGTTTTGAAACTGGATCTTTGAAAATAAAAGACCTTTCAGTTTG